GCCTCCCATTCTACTTTTAGAAACTCCAGGAACCACAAGTAAACCTGCAGTCTGAGAGTGAAGTGCTGTTTTTAAATGTGCCTTACAAATGCATTTAATTTAGGATATTCTTTGTCATATCCTTCAGGTAASTGGAAAAGAAAATGTGTGGATTATATCCTATTATATAGTTACAGTAGTGGCCAATTTAATCKTTCCCATCAAACCAGCATGGGTTTGTTTTGTTGGAGAAAACCTGAGAATCTGARGCAGAAAGACCGAACAAACTGGACCAACAAACCTTCTGACTGTGGAGCAACTTTGGAAACCATCCTGCTGCCCACTGTAAAGTCTTTAAGCATTGAAATGTTGAATGCAACTTAACATTCATGTTTGTTTTGTTTTATATTCTGTTTTAGGATAAAACCCAACATGCTACATTAATCCATCAATGGTAAAATTTAGCAGGAATGATGAATATCAATGACCACTTAACGCAAAAACAGAAGCAAAAACAGCAAATTGGTACAAAAATCTTTATTTAGTAACAGTTTTGTAAACATTTGAGGTAAATGAACATTTACATCAACTTGTTTTTTTTTTGTTATTGTTGTTTTTTACAGTAGAATCATTCACACACAAGGCACTTTTCTTGTTTAAGACAGCGTTAAAAACAGGTTGCTGCTGTGAGAACTGTGAGATGGTTCCTAACCCCCGATGGGCCGAAGAAATCATGCTCTGCATGAAACACGAGGAAAACGTTTGGAGGACTTGCAGGAACAAAAGGCTCGTGATGCAACATCCTGTCAGGGCTGCAGAGGTTAGGGAAGGGCCAGCTACCCAACAGTGAAGATGACATGAAGTCTAACCATCTTAACGGGTTTGTGAAACCCTCAACCYCAGTAACAGCTGTTTGTATTGTCTTTAAAAAAGATTAATGCTTCTTKTAATACTGCTTTCATTGTAAAGAGTCACAGGGTTTAACTTTTCAGACTTTTAAGACCATTGAGGATCACTGGGATCAGTTAACTTCACAGTATTTCTAATACTATCAGTAATACTGTTGGAGAAAATCACTTTTTTCCCAAATGTGCAAATATTAACTACTGAAATGTAAACCTCTGGTATCAAAATCAATGAAAATAATGGAAATGAGATCTTTTCATTTAAAACAGGAAGCTTTAAATGATAAAGGCTGGCTTTAGGTTTGTGTTTGACAACCCAGCACGGGTTTGTTTTGTTGGAGGAAACTGCAGAGTCTGGAAAAGAAGGACCAAACAAACTACATCTGGCAAAACTCCAAACAAGCTTTCTGACTGTGGAGCAACTTCAGTTTCATTTGCCGCACTACAACAAAGTTTAAAAGTTCATCTAAACGTGGCCAAACTGCACCAAACACACCGCGATGTTTGGTTGGTTGGCAGCACAGTTTGAGGTGCACGTCTCCTTTTGCAGTGGCTTTGAGAATGATGTTGACACGCAAAACACTCATTTATGTCTACAAAGATGTGCAAACTTTTGATTAATTTGGACGTCATAAGAGTGTTCTGACTGGCTCAACTAAATGTAACTAAATTAAAGCTATTTTTGCTTATTTTACTGTTTGTGTCTTTGTTCTCAGTTAGACAAAGATACAAAATTTTATGCTTTTAGGGTGCACTTGTGTTGTGCTCCTACACAGTACCATTATTACAGTATGAGAGTGAAGCTAAGTCATTGTTCTGAAAGTCACAAGTCTCAAGTCTTTCCAATCAAGGCCAAAATCAAGTCAACTGAGTAATTTTGATTACATTATAATAAAATATAATTTTCAGGAAATATGAATGCTTCTAGGTGTGTTATAAAACAGGAAGAGCAGAGGGTCAGAGTCTGTTAGCAGGTTTCTACGGGTCAGAAAGGTACAATAATTATAGACATTTCATAAACCAAAAATACATACATTTTCTTTGGATTAGGATACCAAATATTTTCAAGTCAAAGGGTTCAAATCTACGGGAAGACACAAATCAAGTTCCAAGTATTTTGTGATGCGATCAAGTCAAGTCTAAAGTCATCCAAACTATTTGAGTTTCAACTCCAAGTTGTGAAACTTTAGCCTACAACTGTGATTGTTCTCTTGTAAAGTACCAAAACTGTTGATCTGTATTGTGTACAAATGACTAAGTTGTGTCATGCAGAATTTTTTACATGTTGTTATTGTGTGTTCACAGCTCTGTCACAGGGTTGAACTCACAGGGAAATACAAAGTGCCTGACAACACCGGACAGAGACACCAGGGACAGACGACTGTCGCTGATGAATTCAGGTAAAACTTTGTCTTTCCGGAAAAAAAAAAAAGAGTTATCTCTGACAACAGAGCAGAAATCCAGTCAGCCATTTCACAGGGTTTTAAAAATACGCAACAGCAATCGCATTTTAAATGTTTTTTTTTGTCTTTAAATCATAGATGTTTCTCAGTTACAAACTGACTACTACAGGTATGAAGTTTAAGAGTAAAATTCAATTCAGTTTATTAAAAAATAGGCACTTTTTCGGAATAAAACTAATGAAGAAGCACATAAAATGAGTGACAATAAAACACAATTGAACTCTTAAAGTTGCTCTCAGTGTTCAGGTTCGATTCAAAATATCTGTCCGCCATTCTGATCCATCATAGCTACGGCAAGTCCAACCGAAAGGTTTGGAATATTCTGAACTTTAGGGATATTTTAAATTTGGTGCAAAATGTTTCCAAGATTTTCTTGAAGACAACATGTGCAATCAGTGGAAAGCTGTTTTCAGAAATCCTGTTTCCTTCACAGGAATGACTTCAACCAGCACTTTTGACCCACGGCAAGTCCCATCCACACAACAGCTATGCTTGTTTGTTCTGTAAATTTAGTAAAATTATTTTATTCCTGTTTACTTCCAACAAACAATAAACAACCATGGAGCGCTGAGTGACTCATCCTGTAAATCAGTGAGTTGCAGGGCCGAACATGCTGGCATGAACAATTACTGAAACAGTCTGACGTGTTTTAAAAACTTGATCTGGAGGTTTTCTTACATTAAACACAACATAAAACTGATCTGGAGGAGATGTTTGATGGTGAAACCAACGATAAACTCTCCGTACATCCGTGTCAGCTCCCTCTTTCCTGCAGGTGAAATGAAAACTATTCAGTCGTATTCGTTTTGACAAAAGGTCACTTTCATTTGAAATATCAACTTAAGCTGATTTAGACAAAAATCCAAACTTCTCTTTAAACCAAGTGTGTTGGTAAGGTGCGTGACGTTAAATATTATCTCAGTATTTTTCACTTTGTTCGCTGACAAAAAGATCTTGTGCAGTTAGGTTTTGTCTCCATGAAGATGATTTTAAAGGGGCAATATTATGTGTTTTTCAGGCATATATTTAAATACTATACCACAATAAAGTATCTATGTCACCTTTAGTTGTTATTAAAATGCTGTTTTTATGTTTAAACAGAAAATAAACATATCTTCTCATAACTTCCTCTTCTAAACACCTTGAAATTGGCCTCTGTTTCTTTAAGAACAACCTTCCGCTTCTGTCTTGCCCATTTCGGTGCGGTGCGGGGGG